GTCCGCTATCTTTATTCACGTGCTTCCCCTGGGGCCACCTTAGCACAACCACCCAGGACAGAGATGGTCCTCATCTGCTGACCCACCAGACCCCCACGTGAGCTGCTGCTGTGGAACTGGGGCCTGGAGAAGCTGCCACGGCAGAATACGCGAACTCTGGGGACAAACCTAAAGTTCAAGCTGTATCTCAAAGGACAACAAAGGAACCACTGAGAAAGAGAGAAACTTTTATTGACAAACTGTGATTACAATAAATACATTTATTTACATATTGACATTTTAAACACAGCATTACATGTAAAAAGAGCTGTACATGAGGTAGATTTTTTCCGTTCCAATTTTTACATCCTTTCAAGTAGGCACTACAGAAAGATTTCTTATGCAAGTGGAAGGGCTTGGGATTGCGATACAGTCACGGAATAAGAGGAAAACAACTTGTGCAGATGATGCTGTAGGTAACATGAGGCAGGCGAACCACCAGTGGAGTCAGTATGATACAGTCGGCTCTTGAATTTATATTCTGAACTGCCAGCAAACAAACTCAGTAGTCCAGATTAGAGCAATACACTTTGAGAGAGCCTCAAAATACCCAAATAAATACAGCGTTTAGGACTTTACAGGTTAGGAAGGATCACACTCAGTAATAGTAATAGAGGTAGAATTGTGTTGACAGTGCTCGTGTTTCTAAGTGGCAATAAAAAAAGTGCTAGTGCTACCACTGAATTCAAGAACAGAACGCCTGGGAAAGCAAAGAGGAGAAAACATTTGTTAATCCTGTTTCTCCTGGCTGGCCACAAATGCTAGAACATGTATGGAAAATGCTGTAACTCTCCAACATGGGAAAAACTGCAAAGCAAAATGGTTAAGAAATGGTATTTCTGAGGGCTTTGAGAAGAGCATCTCCACCTACGGTCTGGGACCTGTTAAAAGCGACCTCAACTTCATACACTACAAAGGCTGCAAAGAAAAATAAGGTATTATATATTCTGGCATTAAAGAACTAACCTTTAGGTATCCTCAAAATAACTACCAGTGAAAACGGGACAGAAAATACAGCAAAAAGGGTCAATGCTATGGACTCACACAAGGAAAATGCGTGGGGAGATAAATGAGGAGTCAAAATTGCAAGAGAGCAGCAAGGATAAAAATATCCTTGCAGGGAATGAAAAAAATGGGGCAACGAGATGGAAATGTGGTAAAACACAGAGAAAAACAGAAAAAAGGCCAAAGAGAGAGAGAGAGAGAAAAAAGAGAGAACATTGACCTGTTCTAGAGATACTTTGTACCAATCTAAAAACCTGCATGTAGAAGATGAGCTGTGGATAAATTAGAGTTAGTGCCTTGTCTTTGCTGCAGCTGTAAGCGGAAAACGGGGATTAACTGGAGAAGTTTCACCGCCTGAAATAAAAAATCCTGCAAAAAAAAGTGTTATTATATGCACAAAACAAGGTTTCAAAGGCAGCCTGACAGACAGTTAGACACGATAATAAAACCCATTAGATGTATACAAAGAAATCCTGACCCACTGAATGAACACAACGTTAACATTACACAAACAGAGCAGCAGTTTAAATTGTGATCTTCCAGAGAAGTAAATACCAGATTGCAATACAGCTACACTTAACTGTACACAGGCTCCTTTACTAAAATATGCTTAATAAGTGATAACGCTTAAAATGATTCACTTGGTAAAAATCAGTTAACCTGAGTGCTGTTATATTTTAAAAAAATAAGTGTAACCTGCTGAAAAATGGAGTATGTACAAGGCCCATTTCCAGTTAGAAAAGGGTGTCCAACCAAGAAGTGAGAAAGCAACGTAAGCCCCTAAGAGCCCCAGTGAGATCAACCTGCCCTTTGAGCTGTTCTCGTGCAGTGGGGACTGGACTTTCCACCAAAACAAGCACGGAAATAGAAAACGGAGGCTTAAAAAAACAAAAGTAAAAATAAAATTAAAAAATAAAAAAAGCTCTGCAAAAAGCAGTGATAAAAGGAACAAAATGATCCTTCCCAACCGTATTATACCAGAAGATGGTATACGCAGGGATTCAATATGAATCAGTGTTTTTGTACACAAGGCCCTGTGCTCATGTGGATAACAACTCAGCTTCACGAGTAGAAATTAGGTTACAAAAACCTTACAGAAAATCCTTAGGATTTCAGACTAGTTTAAGAGAAAATACTTCTAGTATTAACGATTATGAAATACTTAGTATTTAAGGCACGATTTAAAGTGACATTGAAACAAAAGCCCAACGTTACCCCGAATGATCTGTATAATCTAGCTAACCTGCTGCACTCTGGTCAGCACGTTTCCTTCACGTTTGTTTCTTGCCCAAGGTGCTGCTAAAAAATGAAAACAAAAAGCACCAAAAAGAGTAATAATAAAAAAAGATTTGTGCTGATAAGACCCCAAAAATGCCTTTTTGACAGCAAACATGAGAGCCTGGTTTCATCTTTGAGTATTGCTGCCCATGTAACACACGCGGGAGGGACAGAACAGCACAGAGCTCAGCGGGCAGATCCAGCAGGTCTCCAGAATAAGGTAAAGAGACAAAATCCCCCCAAAATGGAACCTTCCCCCCCCCAACCCCCAGCTCCCCGAGGGCAGCACAGTCACACACACATGCACACGCACCAGCTGCTGGGGCAGCTTCCTGCACACTGAACAACTTAAAGCTCCATAAATAGGAAACACGTTTAAAATTGGGAAAAACAAAACAAAAAAGAAATAAAACCCAGTATCAAATCAAAGGATTTTTCTTAGCCCAAGTCTTTAGACCATGTTGAGAGAAAGCTGGGAGGACCCTCAAGGCACAGGCACTCTGGAATAACCTACAGTTGTGCCAAAGGCACCTCAGCTACAGGCCTGCGGCAGGGAGCTAACGTGACAGCACCTGACTGCTCGGGGCACCTGGTATTTTAATGGCTGGAAGGACTTTGGGCAGGAATTTGGAAATCTGCAGTGAATTTTCAGAAATAAACGGGGGAATGAACTGCGTATCTGAAGATGTTTTTGCCAACGGGGTGTCAGGGTTCAGTCTCTGCTGCTGAAGTCAATTTGGAGCCATTGGCGGGACAAGAGCAACTTCCCTCTTCAGTTTATTCCCTACCCTACTTTAAAGGGCAACATTTGCTCCTGCAGCTACGAAGGTACTGGGTCCTCCCTCTGCCTAGTGACAATTTCACTGAGCTTTTCCAACAGTTTCCGAACTGTTCCACCATACAACACGTGCCACGTCCATTGCTGACATTTTGATGAGAAAAAGGGTTACCGCGAGCGACGTGATTTACGGGTAAAACCAAAATATCCCCCACTTTTGAGAACAGTGTTACAAGGCAGACCTGTCTGTACAGCAAAATCCAACACACTAAACCCCCATACCTTGGTCCGACAATGCTCTGTATAATCCCCATCAGAGATAAAGGAGAGAACTTGTTTAAAAAGGTAAAACATTCTACCGAAAACCACACATTATATGGCCAAACCAGTCGCTTAATCAAGATAAGATTCACTATAAAATGAAATCTTCAGTGCTACAAGATGGAAACAAAATAATTCAAAAAAAATCTGGCTCCATATAATCACCTCATGGAATTACCTAATAGAACCATTATAAAATTCTGCTAATAAGGATTGTGAACAAATAATACACAGGTCAGGATATATGTATTGACTTACTAGCATCTTTATAAAAATTTGAAGATATACACAAAAACACATCAACATTTATGGAACTGTAGCCACTAAACTTACGTAAGACAACACAAAGGAAAACTAACAAATAGCTAAGATGTGTTTGACTAAGCACTCAGAATAACATTTTAATTTTAAAAGTTCAATATTTACATAGAACATTAAATTTTTTTTTTTTTTTTTTTGTATTTTGCATTGTATTTTGAATGCATGATAAAGAAAGAACAAGATAATGGTTGCAACAGATCTTCCAAGAAAGTTAAGATGTTCGGCTTTAACTAGGTGCTAACAGAGAATATGGAAATAATGCATCCATCTACCTTGAGCTCTACTTCCTCTGCGATTTTGGGGAGGAGACACGACAAATGGGACTAAAAGTCACATTATCATTCAAATTGGTCACTGCCAACAGATCCAGTTTTAAGTTAGGATTTGAGAACTAACAGGATGCTTCAACAGTTTTTAACAAGTGACTCCCCTCATTGCTGATTTTGCTACTGAACCTCGGGATATTATGAAGACAGTGATAATACCCGGTGTACGTATGTATGTGTATAATAAAAGGCATATAGACATACATACATATAATAGGTTTATGGACAGTGTGATATCCAGCTACCCCAAAAAGCAGCTAAGATCACCCGCAAGCAAGGCTGCCTGTACTCTAGCTAGGCACAAGCAAAAATCTACTGCAACTGCTTGGAGAGGATCCCTCTAGTCATAAAACAGGCATCACTTACATCGGCTCCTATAGCTGGATAGATCTGAGGCTATTCCATGTATTCCAAAGCCACCCATTTTTATCTTTTCTTCTCGTTTGTTAAAAAGCAATTGGTTTAAAAAGTTTTAAAACTTATCTCGGCTGCACTTCAGTCTCTCTGGGATGGATTCAAAACCCAAAGCAGGAGCCTCTCCCCAAACTTCTTTGGCTTTTGAATCAAATCCACAGTCTGGGGCTCCCGGAACCCTCCTAACCCCAGCACCGGTTGCTGCTGACAGGACACTGCTCAAGGGCAGATGTTCCTGCTGCTCTTCCTGTTCCATCCCTAGGTGTTTGTCCATCTTTCTTGTTACAGAGAAGCTGCACTGGAACAGTGGGATGAATAACTGTTTAATGACGAGAAAGCAATTATTATTATATTAAAAAACTATTCGAGAACCTCATGGGGATACACAGGGGTCTGGTGCTGCTGGATGTGAGCAATTAAACCGCATTTGGCAGCACTGGTCAGCGGCATCACCTCGTGTTAGGTCTTCAGGGGTGGCTTCCTCCAGGCTCTCGCTACCTGCAGCTCTTTCACTACTCTGAGCTTAGGACTAGCCCGAGCGGGACACTGTAATCATGCAGAACACATAATATGAATATTATGCATAATATGGAAGCAGGCAGACAGATCTAGAGCTCACTTCCATGGGAAAATCCTCATGATGTCACTGGCTATGTTGAAAACGAGTTTAGAAAAACTCTTTATTTTTTTTTTTTTTTGGCTAGTGTAGTATTTTCAGAGTACCAAATTATTCCATATTATTTCCGTGAAAAAACAATTTATCTAGAAGATTCCTGACAATTTTTATTATTCAATTGTTAAATTTAATAACTTCTACTTAATTAAGCTGTAGGAAAGCCAATTAGGAGGTCTTGGGGACTTGGTTACCAATAGACCTTCATAAAAAAGATCTATGCTACTATGAGCTTGCTTAGTTTATCCTGCTAGGCTTAGCACACCTATTTTGGACCTCAGTCCCTGCTGTTTTATGACAAACCAATAGTGCTCTCCTGTGGTTACTCATGTAACAAGGCTACAGAGGCTCTGCAAGTTCCTCCACTCCAACAGTAGAGAGCTTAACAGTATTCCCTAAAAGAAAGGATCAAGCAAAAGCTCCCAGGCTAAAAACTATGGGAATACATTCGTAAAAACTGCAATCCGAGAGATGACATTTTAGCAAGTTTATTCAAAAATAACTGAAAAAAGTTATTCCTTTGGCAATACCATCTAAATGGTTCTAACCAAAAGGAAATACTACGGATTTTGCTTTGAATAAAATGTAATCTTAATGTTTGTACATAATTTTGGGGGGAACTGCCACATTCAACAGCAGACTGGCAAAGTTCTTGGAATCCTGTTTTTATTGGGAACACCACATCAAAGCAAACCTTTGCAGTGAGGGGTTTCTTACGGTTCAGCATTAGTCGCAAATTAAATCTCAAGTCAAAAAAACCCCAACTAATCAAATTAAAGTGTATGGCGATTGTGAAACACTAGTGCATAACAACTACTAGGCACACACCACTCTTCCTGGGTAACGTTTTTCAAGTGAGCCACTAAATATTTCTTTTTCCTTCTATCTGGCAATGCCCTTTAAAGCAACTCAGTTACCACTCGGAGTTAACTACACCACGATGCTACTCAAGGGCAAAGATCCTTGTTTTTAAAAACCAAGGGAAAACACAGCAATGCCATTCCTATGCAAAGTCTCACGGAGCAAGTGGAGTTGGAAGGAGAAGATGAAAGTCTGTGTTGGAATAGCAAATGCAAAGACAGACTTGGCATATTTACAGAGATAGAAACTACAGTTCTCCAGTGTCACCTCCAAAGCTTCTCAGCATTCTGTTATTCAGTGAAGTAGACAGTGTTTAAGTCTATGCACGGATCCCTTCTATATGCTCAGATGCACAACATAGCTAGTTCTGTTTAGAAAAAGTGAGTTTTCATTTAAATACCTCACACTGAAGATAAGAGCAACCATTATCAAATATTCTTTGCTATGAAGAAAGTTTTTAAATCTTTCGGTGTAAACGTTCTCTCTCAAGTCACTGTGGTCACACAGAAGTATCTCCAAGAACAGTGTCTACATGCATTGTAAGCATTTGGGGAAAAAAAAATCTGTAGTTCCATGTGGTTACAACAGAACATGAACAGACGGAACAGAAATTCCACCTCCGGAGGAGATCTTAAGTCCAGCTCTCCTTGAGGGCATCTTGCTGTTCTCTGTAGCTCAACAGCAATGCAAAGACTGCAGGGCTGAAAGGGTTCAGGGCCTGGTGGTCTCGTCACCGCGTCTCACGCGCGCCCCACAACGCTCCTGTGTGGGCCAGGGCTTCTCCGAGCAGGACCTCACTCAACTATCAGCGCCACGTTTATGTGCGACAGATCTATCATGTGCCTGCAGGAAGATCAAGGACACTTAAACCTGGTGCTCAACCTTATTCTAGGCAGACAGAGGAGAGCACGAGGACCTGCAAAGGTCACTAGCAGGTGCTTGATGGCACTAGGAGAAACACTGATCAGAGAAGAGCAAGTTTTTCACCGGGATTAACCACTTACCTGTGGAATTTCTGCTGAAATGCTAAAGCGTGTGCTGGCTCCTTAAATTTTGCTATGGCTTTCCGTTGTTGAGGAAGCATCTGTAAACTCTGTAGATACAAAAAAGTACATTTTTTTAAACAGTCATTTTAATTTCCATTAAAAATTCTTGTTTTCACCAAAACCATGGGAATTTTGTCAGGAACATCTCCCAGCACTGAGGGCAGGGAACTGGGCCTAGCACAGGTTCCCAGAGATGAGGTAGAGAAGCCGAATCCCTTGTGCAGCTCCCTGCAGCCTCTGACCAGTGGACCCACGTGAAGGCATCTGAGCTGCTGTATTAAGCAACGGTGCTAATGAGAAAACAGACTGGTTAAGCAAATCCTCAGACTGCTCCAGAAGGTGAACCAAACTTTGCATCCGAACTTCCATTAACCCAATAAGCAGCACTCCAGTGGTCAGAGGCCCTGTGGTGGAGCCAACAGCCCAGACTAGCTCAGCTTCACATGCAAGTCCTTGGAATCACTCATCTGACTGGCACTGAAGGATCCTGACTTCTCACAGGTTTAAAAGAAGGGGAAAAATTAGGAAAAGGTGAAGGTTTTGATCTTTGAACTATATATCATCATATAATTTTAATAATAACTTGTGACTCCTTCTTGACAGACACTTGATGAGATGGCTTAGGTCGTTGGACTGGCTTTCTAACTTTTGAAGACTAAGAATTAATCACTGACATTAAATACCAAGATGGCAAATTAATACGAGATTTAAGAGAATTACAAAGAATACTTGAACCACAAAAAAGGCATGAGAGGAATACATTAGGTTCCCAGATCAAAAATTCCCATATGGATGACTATTTCAGAGCACGGATGGATCCACGGACCTGGAGAAAGACCATGAAATCATGTCCCTCAGCTGCACGAGCTCCTCAGTCCTTGCCACGAAGGCTCTTCAGCCCCTCTAGCCCCTCATCCTCTCTATAGAGAAGCTTGGTGACTGCTCCCCCCACCATTGAGCTGTTATTACAACTGCTATTCTGGAGATGCACAAAAACCACTCTTTGATTTTGCCGTTTTCATGCCCGTATTATTAAGAATTAGCCTCAGCAATCAGGATATGGGGGGAAAAAAAAATCTGAAGGAAGACATTCCAGTGAGCGCAGGCTGGTTGGTGAAATTAGAAAAGCAAAGTATCTAAATATTCTTATAAACCACATATTTGTACTTCCACACAAGTTAATGTTTACTGATTGACTCATCGGGATGACATGTCACAGCCTGTTCGTGTTCCGAGATCGCTGTGCTTCCCAAGGCAAGTGAAGGCAGTTCGGGCACTCGCAGACCCAAGTCAGCTCCAGGGCTCGATGGCTTTGGCAGCAAAGCGTTATCCTCGCCCAGCCTACTGAGAAGCATCTCTGCAGCATCTCATTTCACTGCTTGGCAGGGACAAGTGGAGAGGGCAGGAGTGTGGTCAGAAGGGTGCAAGGGAAGGGATGGTCAGGGAAGCAGTCAGGTGGGGGTGTCCAAGGCCACCCAACGATGGGTGCCCCCTCCCTTCTAGCGCCAAGGCCCAGGGCTCCTCGCTGCCATCCAAGCCAACCCCTCTGCTTCTCCTCCAGACCAAGGGACCTGCAGCTCATTCCCTGGCAAGGGCCGCGGCTTGGAGCGTTGTGGAGCTCTCCACGTCTGCAGTTCCCTGTGCCCAGGCTTTAAGCGGAGAGACGGTGTGAAGGGTGAGGCAAAACAAATGACACTTCACTTGGAAACTGTCAAAAAATCCAAGTTCAAACAATTGCTTTTGATTCTGTTCTACCAAAAGACTACAGTTACTGAGTACTTTCACTATACGAGCAGCATTTGCTTGAAATGCCACCACAAATCACCTTGTGGGGTTTTTTTTGTTTTTTTTTTTTAAATATCTCAGCACGAAGCATGATCTGTATCATCTCTCTAATCTAACATGATTTAGACAGACCAACTTCATCATCCAGCTAACAAAATTCTCTTGGAAATTTATGTCCTGACTTGGGGAAAACATGTACTTAATTATATTCCAGTGTAAGCTGTGAGTTTTATGCTTACACCATTAAGCAATTAGCAACGCTGATTGCCAGGCACAGAACAAGCAGCCCAGTTTTCGCCAGCGTGCCCAGGTCTTGCCCTGCTTGCTACCCAGAGACTGAACAGATGGGAGACCGGTTGGGAACACAACTAGTGTTCCACTTCAGTGAGAATCCGAAATAAAATCCCTGCCTATTCATTCTTCTGTAGTATTTTGGTCTCTTTGGATAGTGGATGATGTGCAGCTTAGGACAGATTCAGCACTTCGTGATGTTAACAGCAACGTTCTGAAGAAAACAGGCTTTTCATGCATGTAAAAAATCCATATAAGGTCTTAGCTTCCTGGGGTATAATCTGGAGAATTTTAGTAGCTTGAAATCTTGTTCAAAATGTTATCTGAAAAGATTTTAGAAGCATTTGCTTTTCTGATTCCAAATACACATGGTAGGAAAACATGTACAAAATTATATTAATCTTGCATGTTGTAATCACACTTCCTTTTTAGTTTAATACTCTTAATTTTTTTTTTTCCCCTTTAAAAAGAATTTGGCAGCCACTATTCCCATTGATTCGATTTAGTATCATTGGCATCCATGACATTCCCAGGAAGGCTCGAATATATTCACTACAAGGTGATCCTGAAATCACCTCCTAGGAAGCTGTTAATTTAAATCACCCACATTCACTAATCAGCCTATCCACCCTAGTAGTCAGCCAAGGATACTTGGATATACTCAGTATACTTGGAAGGAATGTTCAGCGAGCTTCCAAAATCCCAGCCCCATTGTCCGATTCAGACCTTTCTGGCTTATTTTGATCATGTCTTACTACTTCTGAAAGGATTTCTTGAGTCCAACAGAAGATTAATTGAACAAAACCTCTTCTTGTACAACTCTAACCCCAACTCGTTCAGTATTTGCACAAATCTCATCAAGAGAGACTTGCCTCTTGTGATCAGTGCTGGCCCTCCCATAACACCACGGGTCCAAAAACTCACTAAAATTTGATAAAAGTGAAACGTGAAACCTCTCCTAGGTTCGGGGTCTAACAGCTGGTTTTATCACTTAGATATCGAAGTGCACAAATACAAACCCACTGCATAGTGAGTGGTAAGACTTCTTTTTTTATGTGCTCTAGGTGGCTTTCAGGTTATACCCTAAATGCTGGAGTAACTAGAGACAGACACACTCAAACCTACATTAATGACTTTTTTCACTACTTCCACAGCAGTTTCTACCCTCTCTTTCTAGCCTGAAATAACCAAAATCCCTCCAAATGTCACAGTTGTGAGGGAAAACAACTCCCCTCACGTTTCCTCTTTAGCTTAACCAAGCTGGGGAGACAGCAGTAGATGAAATCCCCTCCCTGGATCCACCAGGGATCTCACAGGTTTTTAGAGACTGAAGTTTCAAAGCCCACCACCCAATACTCCTTACCGACCAACGTGAGACCATTTCAGAAGTATTCTACATATTTTCCCATTCAAACTCAGAGTGAGAGAGGAGGTATTAAGGTCTGGAACACTCTCAGCATTTAAAAACCCTGTTTTAGGCTGAGAAGGATTATTTTATACAGAAAGGATTTAGGCAGCACTGAACTGATAAGGATCAGTATTATCTTCTTTTTCTGTTTCTTTGGGAATTAGCATTGGAAGAAGCAGGTCTTGTGGCAAACGAAAAATGCAATGGAGTTGCAAATGATGGTTCACTTGTTGGGGACTCATTCTTCAAGTTATTGCTCATGTTTATTCATTGAGAGTTTGCCTACAACTATTCTAATTGCCTAATAATTAACTGGACTATTAAAAATAATCACAAGCTACAGCTTTCTCTGCCACAAAAATAGTGTCTGACTATGGCATAAACATCATAAAAGGACCATGCCCTCTATATACCTTTCGTTAAGTCTACAGTGTTTGCTTCCCTCAGATTACTCCTTTCTATACTCACTCTCCTCAAGTCTACAGTGTTCCAGAGTCCAAGAAAATGTTACTGAAATAGCATATAGGTAACAGGAGCATAACAGTGCCTAGCAAATCTGAGCGAGGCAGCAAGAGATCCATGAGCAGCAAGCAAGGGAGCTCCTGCAGGAACCCAAGATCTCACAGAATCACAGAATGGTTGAGGTTGGAAGAGACCTCTAGAGATCATCTAGTCCAACCCGCTGCTTCAGCAGGGACACCCAGAGCACGGGGCACAGGGCGGCATCCAGGCGGGTCTGGAGACCTCCAGAGGAGACTCCACAGCCTCCCTGGGCAGCCTGTTCCAGGGCTCTGTCACCCTCACAGATCTCCTGCAACACCAAAGCTCGTGGTGGTTACACAGGGAGGGAGAAGCTAAAAGGCAGACCGGAGAGCACAGGGAAATGCCAACCAGGCAGGCACGCAGACCGCAGCAAGCCCTCGTTTCAGTTACAGCAGACACATGGGAAATAAGTTTCCTCCTTCACTTAATTCCTTTCATTAAAGTAAATGGACTATCTAATAGACTGTTCACTGGTGAACTGGGGAGTAATGGTCTGTACAGAGCTGCTGAGAAAAAGGTCTGCTGAAAAACCAAGTGTAAAACATCCTTAAGCAGCAGCACTGCTACTATCTAAGCTCTTGTGCAACAGGCTGAAAGGGGCACAGCGGGCACTGGCTGAGCATGAAGACCACACCTGATTTGCTCTTCTCTCCCACCAGTAAATGCAGATACATTTTTGCTGCCTGCACAGCTTCCTGACACCAGAACCACCTCTGCTGGAGACAGCAAGCTCTGCCTGTCACATACAAGCCCTGAATCTGGACTAGGAGGTATTAACTTTCCTTCAGCTGACTTCCTTGCCTCTGACCTCCCCCACTTTCTGTCCCTCCTTCTCCTTTTCTGTTATCTTTGTCTTCCCACTATCCCCCTTTGCTCAGCCTTCAAATTCTGCACATTGCATGAGAAGAAAGGATCCTATAAGAGGGGTGAGCTCCACAATACAGGGGAGCTTCTCTGGGCTCACACCTGACTCCACAGCCCAGCCAAATGGAGCAATCCCAATCCAAATCATCTCCCACAGCCCCTGGAGTTGGCAGAGATCCTCATCTCTGAGAGCTGAAAATGCTTTTGTAGGCAGGGAGATCAAAGCTGCCACCAAGGCAGAACCACGAGCCATATGCCTCCCATCACACCAGGAGAATTCCCACCATTCCCATGTTCTGGAATCATTCATCTGTATTTGCTTCTCATATTCACCAAGACGCCTTGAAACTAGAAATAAGACCATTTTTAATCAGCAGGTTAGTGCACGGACCTGTCCTTGCTCCAGCTGAGCACTAGGTAGCAGTGTCACTCCAAGAATGTACAGAGAAACGCAGCCCGAGGCAACTGCTTTTCCCTGCTGGAAAAGGCTGGAAAAGGGATGACTACAGAATCAGAGTAAAAAGGAGATATTTGTAAAACCACTTCCAACACAGCTAGGGTGCAGCATCCTAAACAGCGCCGAGTCAGATGATGTAAAACCATCATTTTTACATCAGGGAATCTGTGATCTCAAATCTTCACCAAGCAGCAAGGGAGAATTTGCCCTCGTGTTTCCTGTTTGGAAACATGCAATGAGGGAAATAGGATTAAAGATGAATTATGGAACAAGTCCAAATTATCTGAAGAGCGAGCACACGATCCCCAGCACCGGCAGCACCCTAAAAGACAACTGCATCAATAGCAGAAACATTAAGCTTGGGTTTAAGAGGACAAGAAGTGAAGCCTTCCATGCCTTTTGCAACTTGTTAAAACCTACTTCAGATGAACTTTCTAATTCTGTGTTCCGAAACCTGCATTAACAAATGCTTTGGAAAGCACAACTATATTTACAGTTTGTAGTGACGTGGGATTCATCTCACAGCTTCTGCTCTTCAGAACGAGTCTGAGAGCAGCCCATATTTTTAAGGAAGGGATTTTGCCTGCCAATTTAATCCCATTTGAGCTATAAAAGACAGCTATGACTATGGGGCTATTCCTGGAGCCCCAAACATTTCCTTCTATTCAGTATCCCTAGAATCTTAGCAGAGTTTTTTCTCCTGTTTTAATAATAGGACAACCTTAATAAAGCAGGGTTGAGAAGTTAGGAGTCTTTAGTGATTAGACAACAGAGGGTATTCCAAAGCTCACACAGAGGGAAAATATTTTTCTCCATTTCCAGGACTTGAAAAAGTAAATTTTCCACCCCTCAACTGTAAAAATCTTCATCTTCCCTTTCCAGCATCCAGCTTTTCTCAAAATGTCACTCTCAAAACCACCTCCTTGATTGAAGCTGATGGCAAAACTGGAAGCACTGAGTAATAATTTCCATTTGCAACTTTGCTTCCCAAGACAGCTCTGCGCAAGGTACCTGCACGTCCATAATGACTGCAGTATATAAAAGGTAAGGGCCAAAAATACAAATCCCTTCTGTGTGTGGAAAAACTGAGAAATCTTTCTCCCCATTCATCTCCTTAGTAAAATGTAGTTTTTTCTATAGATATGTAAGACTTTCTGTTGTACCACCAGTGTAGACCACAGAACGGTTGAGGTTGGAAGGGACCTCTAGAGATCATCTAGTCCAACAGCCCGCTCCAGCAGGGACACCCAGGGCACAGGGCGGCATCCAGGTGGGTTTGGAGACCTTAAGGGAAGGAGCCCCACAACCTCCCTGGGCAGCCTGGTCCAGGGCTCTGTCACCCTCACAGTGCAGAAGTTCTTCCTCACACCGAGATGGAACTTCCTGGGTTTCAACTTATACCCACTGCATCCTACTTGCAAGCCTAAGAAAATGCATTCATGATATGGAAGCACCAACAAAATCAGAAGCCAAACTGCTGATCCGAACGTAAGAGCTGGGATGGGGCTGTTACACAGAGAGCTCCCCCAGAGCAGCTGATACTCATGCAAGAGGCAACATTCAAATTTAGGAGCTGCACTTGCACATCATTTTGAAACAAGAAGTTTGCTTTCCAATAGCAGCTGCTTCAAGACCAAGCACGAACAGGGAGAACTCCTGGGGTTCGGCTTCTGGTTTTGAAGTTGCTTTCACAATCGTTGGAAATGAACATTAGGTCCATCTGGGAATAAATTCAATTCCAGAGTTGGACTCATTAAGGGAAGTTCTGCTGATGACAGTCGATGTCTGACGCCAGGACAGTCTACATGTTAAAAACTGAGGCAGCCACAACTGCCACAACTTCTCTTACAGTCCCTACAGCTTCACCAGAACTAGCTGAAAACCTTAGCAGCTTTCTTAAAGTAATAAAAAGACAAATATATCAACCAAAACCCACTTATAATGTCTCATTTTGTCTCTTTTTAGTCATCTCTCTGAATCCCTCCTATCTCAGATCACCAAGCTTCGACATCAACTTCATTTTCAGAAGCCAGAGCTTGGGCACTGCACAAAGATCCTTTTTGCTACAGCACCTCTTTGCTCTGGTCATCGGTGTTAACCCGTTCTTGCCTCTCACACACTACCCAGATGTGCAAAAACTGCAAACCTCACATAGCAAAAGACCCTTCACTCTTCCCATCTCTTCTAATGGCCCCTTCCAGGCTCCTCATTGCAAATGACTTGTCTTAAATGCATTTTTTCAGGAGTGAGAATATAATGAGAGAGAAGACCCTCTTTCCCCTTGCAAAGCCTCTTGGTCATTCACAGGGAATTTCATACAGCACTGAGCACAGACACTAGTAAAAACACCAGTTTATAGCCACAAGAAGATATAGTCCTTCCCTTTGGGATTTTGACCTCTTTCAAAACCTAGCACAAGTTATTACTGTGAAAGGGGGCAACACTACAGATTTTCATATGTTTCTTTTCTAGTTCTTTCACTAAAAGGCTCTTATAACTGCTGCTATCCACTCCTCCTTTGGGGTATTAATATTGCTCTGCCACATCATTGCATCATAAGAAAATAAGAGTGATCAGAGTGGTCCCGACCTCACATTCCTCCTATAAAAGCATCACTCCTTCCCTGTACGTTTCCCTATCTGCACTTTTAAAACATCCTTCAGTCTTAAACAAGCCAAAAGGCTGGAGAACCTTGTTGAAGATTTTTTGTGAAATTCCAGGGCACCATCAGCACAGGAGACTTCTGCATCATTAGCTAAATTCCACCATTACTCTCAAGATCTTAGATCTCTTCTAAGAAGAAAACAGATGATGATGATGGTCTAAAAAGAACTGTTTGCAACAAGGTACAGCTGACTACTGTACGAGACAGGGATACATCAAATCCCACTGGAAAACTATAAATATATTATAATATATATATTATAATATATATATTTCTTAATTCCTCCCTATTAGGAAGACGAGTCATCTTGCTAGACTGGTCTGTGACACAGCATGAAGACACTGAGTCTGAAGTCTGATAAGAAACAGCAAGTCCTGAACAAATCCTCCAGCACGTCCTCAGGAACCTCCTTTAGCCATGAAAATTTCCTAGGCGGGTTTCCATTAATCTCTTTTAATATCCTCATGCAAGATTTAGCAAGTAAACATAGAATAAATGTGCTCCAGAGCTGACCCAACTTCAAAACAGTAGGAATAATTTCACGCAAAGTGCTGCAGAACACGAAGGGACCAAATATTCTGTGAAAGGGTTTTTTTGCTCTTTGAACTTTGAAATTATTTCAAAATTATTTCATTCACTAAATTGGAAAAGCGAGGCAGGGCAGAGAGCACATCTCCAGGAGAGCACTGTGTTCCACAACACGCAGAGAACCCTACTCGTAAGGAAGCCTCAAAGACACAGGAAAGTGCCAATTAATGCACTGAATTTGTCTGAAAGTGCTGATCCTATCAAAAGGAGCTCCCTAAACTGAGAAATCAGAGGAAAAATATCCCATTACCTGTAGGTTTCATTATCTGCTCACTGATATTTCCAAGTGCACTAACCATAATTTTGGCAGAACCTCCTAAACCCTCCGGGGCTCCAAAAGCCTCCTGGTTTGGTGAAAGTCCGTTCAACTGACGTATCACAGAATGGCTGAGGTTGGAAGGGACCTCCAGAGATTGTGCAGTCCAACCCCCTTGCTCCAGCAAGGACACCCAGGGCATGGGGCACAGGGTGGCAGCCAGGCACCTGGATCTTGGAGATCCAGGTGAAGGAGACTCCACAACCTCCCTGGGCAGCCTGTGCCAGGGCTCTGGCACCCTCACAGTAAAGTTGTTCTTCCTCACATGGAGATGGAACTTCTTGTGTTGCAACTTACACCCATTACCCCTTGTCCTGTCACTGGCCACCACTGAGAAGAGCTTGATCTCTTCCTCCCTACACGTATCAGCTGTAAGAGGCAACGCTGAACCAAAGCTCTGAGCAGATACCCTGGCACGTGCCTGTCAACCCTCCAAGAAAGACCCCTCCAAAACACTAAGTGGAGAAATGCTTGGGAAAGAGGCCACTTCCAGCAAAGGGCAGAGGGTGCCAGGACAGCTGCAACGTCCCACAGGGGCAGCGCTCGTCACGGGCTCTCACCCCAGGTGCAGTGACAGGACCCGGTGTGTTCGACAGAGCACAGGCTGACGACAAAGACAAGGGCAGCAGCCCAAGGTGCCGTGGTTTTGATGCACTAATCAACATCATTTTGATGCAGTCCCAAACCTCACTGAATGGCCCTGCTTGTGTTTTGAATGAACATTACAGAGCTGGCAAGAAATACGACGTGAAAGAGACTCCTCTGCAGCAAGAATGTGATGGTTTGCAAAATTCTCCTCTACCTCCCATGCTGCAATATCACCCCGTGTTTGCCTTTGCTGTCGGGTGCAGAGCGTGTGTGCATGGCGGGGGGGGGGTGCCTTCAAACATAAATTACCAATAAACACACATTGTACACAGTGTCAGGGAATTAATTGAGCTTTCTGGACTGAAAGGCTTTTGGCACCAAAATCAGAAGCCAAGCTTGACCTACCTGAATGGGTCCCACTGACATCAGCAGGTTTTTCAGTTGGACATCAGTAGTTGATGAAGAAAGCCCTTCAACTGACACGATGCAGGGCTGAGGTTTGCACTCCACCACTCGCAGGTTCTGTTTATTTGGCATCAAGCGTCCTCGGCCCATCTGGCCTGCTACTCCTCTGCCTCTCCCGTGCATAATGACCTGCCAACAAGGAAAGCAACAGGGTTTTGATTTGCTCACCTAGAGCTGCTGCTACCTGCACTTGACAGACAGCCCACGTTAGCGAGTTACCCAAAGGCTCCGTTAAGGCGAGTGTCGATTTAAAGCAGCTTCTTGCTGCTTGATGATCCCCCAAAATACATATTAACATATTCATCGACTGCTTATATAGACCTCTTAGGCATACAAGAAGTTCTGAACGGGACTGCAGTCAGCCTCAGTTTTCAGGAACCATCAGCACAGCGATAGGGTAATTCAGGCCCAAATGCATAAACACAACGTTGTTTTTGACACTGGCAACACGAGCGCTCACGTGCTCAGCTCCCCTTGTTGTCTGCTCAACGTCACATGGAAAAGTTGCACGGAGGAAGCAGCTCCAAGACCATTTGCCGCTTTATCCCGATCTGAAGCAAAAACATTGTGGCTAATGGTCTGAAAGGACAAGACACCTGAAAAGCCCTAGTGGTTTTCGTGGAGCACCCAAGTTTAAGTGGAACAGAAGGCAGATGTCAGAGCCAGCACCGAGAGTCACCTCACGGGAACGAGCAGTGTGTGAATCTGCTTGCAGCAGCACCTGCCAGCCCAAGCAGCGCCAGCTCTGGGACGTGACCCTCTGTGATGCCCACGGCCGCCTGCGACTCTCGCCTACGCTCAGGCCACGGTCTGGATAAAAAGCCTGGGTGCAACCGCCGTCCTCGTGACTTTTGAGGCTGGGAAACGGGTCTGATCCTGTCGCCCAGGCAGCTACTCTGCCATTTGCTTCTAAGCCAGGCGCCTTCCAAGCACCTTCAGAACTTACAATCTGTGAATATTGGCTATTATTATCAGTATTTAACATGCTCAGAGACAACTGCTGCCGCCTGCACTGCAAGCTGCAATGAGGAGCATCCTTGGTCTCAGCATCCCAGAGCCCCCAGGTGCAAGGGAGCTTTCCTTCTTTCTCTTTCCTTGAAGATTTGCAAGCCCAACCTCCTCTTGCAGCTGTAACAGATGTCACTAACCAGTGGGTTTCACAGTAACTGGCAGGTTTCCTGCGGATAAGGAGCCAAACCAGTGGGCTGCACAAGACGACAAACTCCTGGGATGCACAAGGAGGAGGTTTATGGTCTGGGAGCAACATTATCTTGCCTGGGAGCAACATGATCTTGACCCAGCCTTGCATGTGGCTTCACAGACAGTTTTGCAGGTAAATCTTTGAGACCAGTAGCAAGGGAGAAGTTGCAAAGCCTTCCCGTCAGGCTCCACAGCTGCTGCTCAGAGAAGCGGGAGCTCTTCTGTCTCCCCACATCCAAGCCCACGCACATGAACAAACCCAGAGCAGGAGAACACCCTGCATTAAACCCTAATTTCTAGTATTAGTTCCAATATCAGCATCAACATATGGGGACAGACCCTGATGCCTTTGCCAGATAATTTCTTTTATTCCACCTCACCACAGCTGGAAGATGACGAAACCAAAGTGAACATCACCTTAGAAGGCTTCAAGTGCAAGAACTGGGAGTTCTTGCGCTTGTGTTAACTGTCTGCTGTGGAAAAAATAACCATCAACATTTGCAATCATTTCTTTCCCAAACCAAAGGACGGTCCCAGCACAAAGGAGGAGCATCTTGGAGCAAAGCTCCCAGGTACAAGACACACTGAACACGCTGATCAATGGCCCTTTGGCAGCAAGAGGCCAAATTAGCTTCACTAGGAGGCCCAGTTACTGCAGACTAAAACTCCTCACACTCGCCCAGGGAGCAGAGAAGCAGCTCCACAAGGCACCGACATGCGCAGAGGTTGCACCAGTCCACAGGGCTCATTCTCAGCTGGAGTCCTCCCTTGGGTTGGGATCCACCAGCCCGGCATTCCCGCAGAGCAGCCTGGGACGCCCTTCTCATCCAAAAAGGTGGGAGCAGCTCTGGCTTTTTTCTAAATTAATGCATTCCAGACACACGGAAACCTGCACTGGAAATGCAATCGAGACACAAGGCAGCAGGCAAAGGCCTCAGCATAAAAATAAAGAGGAGGAGCAAGGCTTGGTGGCTCCTCCAACACAGCCCTATGGGGTAAGAGCAGCCTGGAGACCTCCTGCTTGGTGAGATGATCTGCAGCAGCTGGGTGGGCAGAGATGACTCTGGCACACTTTTGACCTCCCCAAAGAGGAGCAAAGGGGCATTCAACTTATCTGGGGACTGACAGGGGGAGCAATCATTTACAGATGACTGCAAAGAAAACGCATCTACCTGCTGGCTCCTCATCTTTACTCATGGGAGAAACAACGAGGTGGTGGCCACAAAAAAGGACCCAAAGCCCTTGGGTAGAGCAGGTGGGTGAAGGAAAGTCATATTGCAAAAACCTTCCCCAAATGGGGTCGAAATCACAGGGGTCACACTACCTAGAGGCTGCTGGTTGTCTCGGTCCTTGCTCACTTTCAAGCGTTTTGTTTTTTCCTTTCCCATAGGATTTAATTTCTGCAAGTCTAATTTTAATGATCTTACACCAATTTAAACAGGGAGACATTTAAGTCTTCTCTTGTCAACATATATTTTTATGATTTTTTTTCTGCAGCATTTTGGCATGTACAGGAAACACTACAGTTTTGGAAGTGCATTTATTCTGGTGAAAGCAGGTAGAACACATCAGAGTTCACATTAGTCCTGCACCAAGATCTGAATGGGAATGATTTAAATTTTGATTTTATAATGCAAATTCCTTTAGTTTGCTCTAGAAAAGACTAAACTTCCTTCTTTGTCTGCAAACCTGACTTGCCCGCTGCTTCATTTCCATATCACAAATCACTCTGACCTTCGAGCGTTGAACTTCCAAGTCCTAGAGCAGGTTGGCCTTCCCAAATGACCATAGAGCAAGTAAGAGACCCCTTGGATGAGCCTTACAATTACTTGGTTAGTTCAGGAGAAGCAAAAATGCCTTTTGCAAATGGCAGGAGCTCTGTTTGGGTGAAAGCATCAAAAAATCTGCCTTTCAAATGCCCCAAAATGCAAAATCACCAGCACTGCCAATGACCACAAGTTCACTTCAAATACTGTGCAGAATTAACCCCCCAAACTCTAAAGACAGGCAAAAGGATTGGAGCTCTGTGGTGAACATTCCTCAAACTTTTGCTATGCAGTTTGATCTGAAATTGCAGACTAACAAAAAAAATGCAATTCAAAGGAAACATTTCAGAACAGATTCCCTGATGCCAGGCAAGGTTGTATTTCAGAACTGACTATATATCTTTCCTTCCTCAGGTTTGTGCCTTGAGAAACATAAAGATCAGTCTGACAAATGCACAATTGCAACTTTTTAAACGCAATTTGATGAAGGATTGCCTGGCTTTGGTAAGCTACAGCCCTGCACTCTATCATAACCATTATGACAGTTTTACAATGAAGATGAAGTTTTTTTGCCACCAACATTAGCAGGACAAATTTATTTATAACAAATGCCTTAAAACGTACTGATAAAGAAAAAAATGCCTATTGATACTGTCAGAGCTTCTTGCAATTTGACAGATCAAATCTTATTTTCATTCTTAAACCCCATGAAGGAATGGTATCACCAACCCGCATTCTGTAGTCGGCAAATTGATTAATCCCCCTCTATAGAAATCTCACCTCTTGATTACACCTATCACACGTTAAGCAGCATTATTCTACAGTGACAACACTTGACAAATTCCCAAACCGTTTTCCTCAGCCTTTGTGGCCCTGCTAGCTTGTATTAACCCCGATGAAAAATTAATTTCCCTTATCTTCCGCTAAACCCCAAAATCCAAATCCGCCAAACTGGTGACTCTTTCTGTAAAGGTATTATGAAAACCTCCGAAAGATTAATTGCATGTCTTCAGGTGACATTAAATTAATTTCTGTACTCGTGACAGACGCCTGATGCCGGGCGCTGAGCACACAGATAACATTGTGAGGACAAAGGGGGACCGGGCCGGGGTCCCGGGGCGGCCTCGCAGGGATTTGCCCTCTGATAAGGGCCCGTTTCACTGTCAGGGCAGCCCGCAGCCCCCAAGCACAGGTTTCTATGGGCTCTGACAATGCTGTGTCTATCCCAGCCATCTCTGCACGCCTAATTCCAAGAAAAAAACACCCAATAGCAAGGGGATGTGTGCGCTGGATAAAGCGCTTCAAGGGGAACAAATTCGGGTTGATTTGGCTGAAGAATAATAGGGAGTGCTTTAGTGGGTCTGACATTTTCATCTGTGTTTAGATGTGTTGTAGATCAGTCTATTGAGATGAAGGGTTAAATCTTGCAGGAAAATCTCCATCCCAAACGTCTTGTAATTGATTTCCTTTAAGGAAGGAGAAGTACTTTGCATCTGCTGCTGGTTAGAATCAAGATGCGAGTCAGAACTGAGCGTCTCTGAAGTGTCACAGTAGTTAAGAGGAGACAACAAGAAAGAGCAAAACCCAAACACCCATTTGATTGCTAGACTCATATTCAAGGGAAAAAGCTGATTATTGTATCCTCTGCCTGGCTATATAGATTTTCATATGTATTTTTTTCTAGCAGTGCTACAATTGATTGCAATAAAATGAGATGGGCATCGACGCAGCCCCTTGTGATCCTCATGGAGCAGATCCTCATGGAGGGAAGAAACCATGTTGAGCAAGAAATCCTTCCCTCTCATAAATAAGAGTCCTTTCTCACTACAATTACCAAAATCACATCGGAAAGGCACAGCCCCTAAGCTTATTTATCCCTCTTGGTGCTCCTGAAGTGGTACCCCCGCACTACAGCTGATTTGAAACCTCCAACAGTCTCACGAGTAGAGGCAGAAACACAATGCAGATCTGGTACAGCTGCAGTCCCCATTCACACACACAAATGGCTCTTCCCACGATAACCAGTGAGTTGGGGCTTATTTTTCCCCAGCCTGAAACTTTTTGGGTTGTATGTACATATACTCCCACTAATATAAATACATGTGTGTATGTGTGTGTGTATCTATTTCCCCCAAGGGATATTTCCCAGCAGAAAAGACCCTG